TAAAGTTCGGATAAAGAAAACCTGTTGAGATAAAAGATCTGTTGAGATGCATTTAATTAAATTGTTCAAAAAAAAAATTGGAAATTATTGTATGTGCGTGTTTTATTTTAATAGATCTTTTATATCTCGACAGGTTTTTTTCTGACTTTCACATTTATCTTTTCTCTTTACGTTAGAGAGAGAGAGAGAGAGAAAAAAAAATAAACAGTACATGTATATTCATGACAAGGTACTATTATTATCAACAAATGATTGACGATTGTCACGGTTACTCTCACTTATTGCACTTTTCTCAAACATATAATACTTTGCGCTGCTAAATTGAAAACGGGCGGATTACGTTTAAGTAAAGAAAGGAGAAAATTCGATAAGCGTGATGCAACTATTGATAAAGAGATAACTGCTACCCATAACGAAACGATTAATTCCTAGTTCCGATTTCCTCCCGCATTCGACATTCGTTTTAAATAGACAGGTCACGCGAGATATGCGCGACTCGGAGCAGGTGGAATCGTTGAGAACGCCTGCGCGGAAGTCGACCATCCCTATGATTGCTAATTAGTACGTGCTTCGTCTTGGTGTTTGCCGCAATCGTGTTTCGAAGGGAAACATGAGCGTGGCACGCGCCACTACCTGCTCGCTCGAGCGTCGTCGCGCGAGTGCTAGACTGGTAGAGCACTGAGTGTGTTGTGTAAACAACACACATAAGTACGCAAAAACTAATGCCAAGTAAGGTTATGCCAATTTTGGTTGGTTTGAATCAGATCGTCAGGTTTTGAAAAGCCTTATCCGATGCCCGGTTGACGAGTCAAAACGTCGGACGTTCGGCTTTAAGTTTATATACCCAAATTCATATACCCAAATAAAATAAAATTTACATCGTGAAGGAAAATTTATGAACCGAAAAAAAATCCGAGTTTCGGCGACATTTCTTCATTTCAAGTGTCTATTATTGGCCGCGTATTAATATTTTTGCTATTATTAATTTATTAAAATACAACTTTAATTAAATAACTTTTCTTACGAGTTCAAATTGTAATTCTAGAATCGTACCATAAGTTTTGTTTTTCTTGATAAACTTATTGTTATTATACTTAACGTAATGTTTTTTTTATATTTGTTCAAAATTATATATTTTTATGTTTTTCTTTTTAAAGTGTTATTAAACGCGTTAAATGTTTTATTAAAATGTCCACAATGAATGTTATATGTGAAATGTCACATGTGTAAAACATGATATAATTTTTAGGTTTAATAATAAAATGTATTTTGTATTAAATAATTAGTATTTTATTACTTGATTCAAATTCTTTTTTCAAAACTCATTGAAAAATAGTATTTCATAATATTAGTAATTTCTTATTAAATT